GAGACAGGGTTTCACCGTGTTAGCCAGGATGGTCTCGATCTCCTGACCTCGTGATCTGCCCGTCTCGGCCTCCCAAAGTGCTGGGATTACAGGCTTGAGCAACCGCGCCCAGCCAATATCAAGGTATTTAAAGGAATGAGGTTGAACTATCATATTTTCTCAGTTCTGAAATACCACTAACTCTAAGATAAGCCATCTATTTAGTAGCAATTTTTTAGCGGACAGAAAGTAAACATAAAGATTTTATTAATAATCAGTAGCATACATTTATTCGTTCAATTGTATACCATTTTCATCACAATAAAGTTTGAGTCTCAGTCTTATTCACATTCAGAATCTAGGATTCTTCTGAATTACTTTGGGTAGTTAATGCAACATCATGATAACAGGCTGCTTTTCGTAATGCTAGTTAATTATCTTAACCTATGTTGTCTTTATGATTGTGTGTATAATTTTAAGGTATACTGAAGAATACTGGGATGTTGCTTTCCTTTTTGCTTAGTTTTTTTTTTTTCTTCTTCTAATTAAACAGCTTCCTCTGAAGATAACTGCAAAAGTTTTGACAGATTTTGAGTCTCTTACCTTTGAAAATTCTGTGATCTTGCTTGAATTTAATAATTATGCCTTTAATTGCATTGTCTATTGAATGACAGTTTGAGTGCACAATACTATATCACAATGGAACCTTTTCAAAACATTTTGTGGGCCAGGCATGGTGTAATCCCAGTATTTTGGGAAGCCGAGGCAGGAGGAACACTTGAATTCAGGAGTTTGACACCAGCCTGGGCAACCTAGCAAGCTCTCCATCTCTATTTACAAAAGTAATAATAGCCAGGCGGGTAGCTCATGTTTGTAATCCCAGCACTTTGGGAGGCTGAGATGGATGGATCACATGAAGTCAGGAGCTCAAGGCCAACCTGGCCAACATGGCGCACCCCTGTCTCTACTAAACATACAAAAATTAGCTGTGTGTGGTGGTGGGTACTTGTAGTCCCAGCTACTCTGGAGGCTGAGGCATGAGAATCACTTGAACTTGGGAAGCAGAGGTTGCAGTGAGCCAGCATATGGCACTACACTCCAGCCTGGGCAACAGAGTGAGACTCATGCCTATAATCCCAACACTTTGGGAGGTTGAGGCAGGTGGATCACCTGAGGTCAGGAGTTCAAGACTACCCTGGCCAACGTGATGAAACCCTGTCTCTACTAAAAATACAAAAAGTAGCCACATGATGGCACATGCCTGTAATTCCAGCTACTTGGGAGGCTAAGGCAGGAGAATCGCTTGAACCCGGGAGGCAGAGGTTGCAGTGAACTGAGATTGCGCCATTGAACTCCAACCTGGACAACAAGAGAGAAACTGCTTCTCAAAAACAAACAAACAAACAAAAACAAAACAGAAAAAAAGAAAAAACATTTTGAGCATCATATATGGTGCTGCCAATGAAAATATTACAATTGGCCGGGTATGGTGGCTCATGCCTGTAATCGCAGCACTTTGGGAGGCCAAGGCAGCTGAATCACCTGAGGTCAGGTGTTTGAGACCAGCCTGGGCAACATGGTGAAACCCCATCTCTACTAAAAGTACTAAAAATTAGCCGGGTGTGGTGGTGGATGCCTGTAATCCCAGCTACTTGGGAAGCTGAGGCAGGAGAATTGCTTGAACCTGGGAGGCAGAGGTTGCAGTGAGCCGAGATGGTGCCATTGCACTCCATCCTGGGCAACAGAGCGAGACTCTGTCTCAAGAAAACAAAAAAAGAAAATAATACAATTGAGGTAACAAAGAGATTTCGGCTTTTATTTTATGGTTAAGTTAGGCATGTGCAATGACTGCTACTCTAGAACTTCTCTGCTTTGGAGGGGAGATTCGACCTTGATTTATTTGGAAGGAACTCTCAGCCATTGTTTTAATTATCATCCCTGGCCACCTGTGAAGTGTGTGTTGGGTGAGTATTCTCTCTTTGGAAGGTACAAATCTTTCTCAACTAGCTTATTGCTCATAGAAGTTGGGGGCCCAAGGGTTGATCTTAAGATGTACTCTATTTATTTATTTATTTATTTTTTTTTCTGGGACAGAGTTTTGCTCTGACTCCAGCCCAGGCTGGAGTGTAGTGGCAAAAATCACGGCTCACTAC